ACTGGGGGAACTGGCCATAAGTACAATGTTCTAGGTATAGTTCTCAAGCCTTCGTATCCTCCAGGACACCATCCAGTGAAGTCAGTTCTATCTAGTGTGAATGCAACACTTTGTTCTATCCAGTGTGAGTGTATCGCTTAGATCACCATGCCCACAGAGAAGTGGGTTTACCACGTTCTTCCAATAGAATCTTCACTTCTTGCCTCCAGGAGTGATTGTGGAAGTTCTCTTAGAGAATTGGGTTCCACTAGCTCTGTCTTCCAGTAGCATCGAAGCCTCTTGGCTCCTGGAGTAAATGTAGAAGATGGTCTGTCAGTGGATTCCAGGCTCATTAATACCATTAGAGTGCAAGGGAATGGTGCCTTCTTTTTACAGAGCCTCAGTGTGGCTCTACAGAGGTAATGTTTCTGTTGAGTTGATAGTTGTGGCCCAGTCAGTGATGGTTGTGGTCCAGACAATGATGATTGTGGTCCAGACAGTGATAGTTGTGGTCCAGACAATGATGATTGTGGTCTAGACAGTGATAGTTGTGGTCCAGACAATGATGATTGTGGTCCAGACAGTGATAGTTGTGGTCCAGACAATGATGATTGTGGTCCAGACAGTGATGGTTGTGGTCCAGACAATGATGATTGTGGTCCAGACAGTGATGGTTGTGGTCCAGACAATGATGATTGTGGTCCAGACAGTGATGGTTGTGGTCCAGACAATGATGATTGTGGTCCAGACAGTGATGGTTGTGGTCCAGACAATGATGATTGTGGTCCAGTCAGTGATGGTTGTGGTCCAGACAGTGATGGTTGTGGTCCAGACAGTGATGGTTGTGGTCCAGACAATGATGATTGTGGTCCAGACAGTGATGGTTGTGGTCCAGACAATGATGATTGTGGTCCAGACAATGATGGTTGTGGTCCAGACAATGATGATTGTGGTCCAGACAGTGATGGTTGTGGTCCAGACAATGATGATTGTGGTCCAGACAGTGATGGTTGTGGTCCAGACAATGATGATTGTAGTCCAGACAGTGATGGTTGTGGTCCAGACAATGATGATTGTGGTCCAGACAGTGATGGTTGTGGTCCAGACAATGATGACTGTGGTCCAGACAGTGATGGTTGTGGTCCAGACAATGATGATTGTGGTCCAGACAGTGATGGTTGTGGTCCAGACAATGATGATTGTGGTCCAGGACAGTGATGGTTGTGGTCCAGACAATGATGATTGTGGTCCAGACAGTGATGGTTGTGGTTCAGACAATGATGATTGTGGTCCAGACAGTGATGGTTGTGGTCCAGACAATGATGATTGTGGTCCAGACAGTGATGGTTGTGGTCCAGACAATGATGATTGTGGTCCAGACAGTGATGGTTGTGGTCCAGACAATGATGATTGTGGTCCAGACAGTGATGGTTGTGGTCCAGACAATGATGATTGTGGTCCAGACAGTGATGGTTGTGGTCCAGACAATGATGATTGTGGCCCCAGACAGTGATGGTTGTGGTCCAGACAATGATGTTTGTGGTCCAGACAGTGATGGTTGTGGTCCAGACAATGATGATTGTGGTCCAGACAGTGATGGTTGTGGTCCAGACAATGATGATTGTGGTCCAGACAGTGATGGTTGTGGTCCAGACAATGATGATTGTGGTCCAGACAGTGATGGTTGTGGTCCAGACAATGATGATTGTGGTCCAGACAGTGATGATTGTGGTCCAGACAGTGATGATTGTGGTCCAGACAGTGATGACTGTGGTCTCAGCCTGGAGAATAGTTAAGCTCCATGGAGGTGAACTCTTCTCCAGGCTGAGGGACTGACCACCTCTGTATTTGACAGAAAAAGTCTACTGTGTAAGTGAAACGACTCAACAATAAAGACATCCAGGTGTTGTACATGTTTCTTAATCTTCATCGTGAACTTACTTATAACTAAGACATCAGTTCTAAGTAGCAGAGAAGTGAGAGGCGGTGATAACAGACTTCCGCAAGAAGAAACCTCAGGGTGTCTTCCTTTATCAGAGGTGCCAGAGTTTGTACATCATTCACAATGACATCTGTTAACGATACGAACAACGACGCTGCAGCGGCTAATTTGCGCCTCCGGAAGAATTTGTACTTCACGGAACGTAAAAGAAAAACTCGAGTAATTTCGTAATGAAGGCTCGAACCTCCGTTGCTACTCGCTCCCCAGTCTCTCTGTTGGTGATTCTCTGGCCATTATCTTAAAAGAAATTGATAATTTACTGTATAAATAATCGTGTCACCTGAGGCACACACTTTTTCAGTCGATTTTTCTCTCAATTTCTCCTTCTAAAACGCAATTTACATAGTAAATTTGATTTTTTTGCGGTTCAAGAAAAATTTGGCATAAATTGTGTCCTTTAAGCGAACGTTGTAAACTACAGTGGACTGCCACGTAAACAGGACACAAACTTCTGAAGATGACTGGTTTAAGAGATTTACTGTCTTGTACAAAAGATTTAAGAGTGGATCAAGGTGGGGAGATGAACGTAAATATTGCCCTGTGAGAGGGCGGGTGACAGTAACACTGCCTCGTGACAGGGCGGGTGACAGTAACACTGCCTCGTGATAGGGCGGGTGACAGTAACACTGCCTCGTGATAGGGCGGGTGACAGTAACACTGCCTCGTGATAGGGCGGGTGACAGTAACACTGCCTCGTGACAGGGTGGGTGACAGTAACACTGCCTCGTGACAGGGTGGGTGACAGTAACACTGCCTCGTGACAGGGTGGGTGACAGTAACACTGCCTCGTGACAGGGTGGGTGACAGTAACACTGCCTCGTGACAGGGTGGGTGACAGTAACACTGCCTCGTGACAGGGCGGGTGACAGTAACACTGCCTCGTGACAGGGCGGGTGACAGTAACACTGCCTCGTGACAGGGTGGGTGACAGTAACACTGCCTCGTGACAGGGCGGGGTGGACAGTAACACTGCCTCGTGACAGGGCGGGGGGGACAGTAACACTGCCTCGTGAAAGGGTGGGTGACAGTAACACTGCCTCGTGACAGGGCGGGTGACAGTAACACTGCCTCGTGAAAGGGTGGGTGACAGTAACACTGCCTCGTGAAAGGGTGGGTGACAGTAACACTGCCTTGTGAAAGGGTGGGTGACAGTAACACTGCATCGTGAAAGGGTGGGTGACAGTAACACTGCCTCGTGAAAGGGTGGGTGACAGTAACACTGCCTCGTGACAGGACAGGTGAGAGTAACACTGCCTCATGTAATCCTAGGAGGCACTCAGACACATCACGACATCTCAAGAGACAGAGGGTTATACAGTCTCCAGTCATCCCAGGAGACAGGGTCATACAGCCTCCAGTCATCCCAGGAGACAGAGGGTCATACAGCCTCCAGCCATCCCAGGAGACAGAGGGTCATGCAGCCTCCAGTCATCCCAGGAGACAGAGGGTCATACAGCCTCCAGCCATCCCAGGCGACAGAGGGTCATACAGCCTCCAGTCATCCCAGGAGACAGAGGGTCATACAGCCTCCAGTCATCCCAGGAGACAGAGGGTCATACAGCCTCCAGTCATCCCAGGAGGGAGAGGGACATACAGTCACCAGTCATCCCAGGAGACAGAGGGTCATACAGCCTCCAGCCATCCCAGGAGACAGAGGGTCATGCAGCCTCCAGTCATCCCAGGAGACAGAGGGTCATACAGCCTCCAGCCATCCCAGGCGACAGAGGGTCATACAGCCTCCAGTCATCCCAGGAGACAGAGGGTCATACAGCCTCCAGTCACCCCAGGAGACGGAGGGTCATACAGCCTCCAGTCATCCCAGGAGACAGAGGGTCATACAGCCTCCAGTCATCCCAGGAGACAGAGGGTCATATAGTCACCAGTCATCCCAGGAGACAGAGGGTCATACAGCCTCCAGTCATCCCAGGTGACAGAGGGTCATACAGCCTCCAGTCATCCCAGGAGACAGAGGGTCATACAGCCTCCAGCCATCCCAGGAGACAGAGGGTCATACAGCCTCCAGTCATCCTAGGAGACAGAGGGTCATACAGCCTCCAGTCATCCCAGGAGACAGAGGGTCATACAGCCTCCAGTCATCCCAGGTGACAGAGGGTCATACAGCCCAGTCATCCCAGGAGACAGAGGGTCATACAGCCTCCAGTCATCCCAGGAGACAGAGGGTCATACAGCCTCCAGCCATCCCAGGAGACAGAGGGTCATACAGTTTCCAGTCATCTCAGGCGACAGAGGGTCATACAGCCTCCAGTCATCCCAGGAGACAGAGGGTCATACAGCCTCCAGTCATCCCAGGAGACAGAGGGTCATACAGCCTCCAGTCATCCCAGGAGACAGAGGGACATACAGTCACCAGTCATCCCAGGAGACAGAGGGTCATACAGCCTCCAGTCATCCCAGGAGACAGAGGGACATACAGCCTCCAGTCATCCTAGGAGACAGAGGGTCATACAGTCACCAGTCATCCCAGGAGACAGAGGGTCATACAGCCTCCAGTCATCCCAGGAGACAGAGGGACATACAGTCACCAGTCATCCCAGGAGACAGAGGGTCATACTGCCTCCAGTCATCCCAGGAGACAGAGGGTCATACAGCCTCCAGTCATCCCAGGAGACAGAGGGTCATACAGCCTCCAGTCATCCCAGGCGACAGAGGGTCATACAGCCTCCTGTCATCCCAGAAGACAGAGGGTCATACAGTCTCCAGTCATCCCAGGCGACAGAGGGACATACAGTCACCAGTCATCCCAGGAGACAGAGGGTCATACAGCCTCCAGTCATCCCAGGCGACCAAGGGTCATACAGCCTCCAGTCATCCCAGGAGACAGAGGGTCATACAGTCTCCAGTCATCCCAGGCGACAGAGGGACATACAGTCACCAGTCATCCCAGGAGACAGAGGAACATACAGTCTCCAGTCATCCCAAGTGACAGAGGAACATACAGTCTCCAGTCATCCACCTACACCCAATGACACACCACCTACCTACAAGGGAACTGACCCACCTGGAGGTGGTAGAGCAGACGGAGGTGTTGGAGCGAGATCTCTTGGAGATAATGGAGTCTCCTCTGTTGACCACGCCCTTAGAGGTGATAGAGAAGGAGCGGAGACGGTAGAGCTCTTCCGAGTCCCTGGGATTGTAAGCTTTCTCAGGGAGAGAGCTCACCCTGGGTCTGAAGTGCTCAAAGCCTGGGGAGGGAGCAAATTGTGAGAGACTGTCTCTACTGATAAAAATATATCTTCTCTCTCTCTCTCTCTCTCTCTCCTCCCCTCTCTCTCTCTCTCTCTCCTCTCTTCTCTCTCTCTCTCTCTCTCTCTCCTCTCTCTCTCTCCCTCTCTCTCTCTCTTTTCTCTCTCTCTCTCTTTTCCCCTCTCTCTCCCTATCTCTCTCTCTCTCTCTCTCTCTTCTCTCTCTCTCTCTCTCTCTCTCTCTCTCTCTCTCTCTCTCCTCTCTCTCTTCTCTCTCTCTTCTCTCTCTCTCTCTCTTTTTCCTCTCTCCTCTCTCTCTCTCTCTTTTCTCTCTCTCTCTCTCTCTCTCTATCTCTCTCTCTTTCCCCTCTCTCTCTCCTCTCTCTTCTCTCTCTCTCTCTCTCTCTCTCTCTCTTCTCTTCCCCCTCTCTCTCTCTCTCTCTCTCTCTCTCTCTCTCTCTCTCCTCTCTCTCTCTCTCTCTCTCTCTCTCTCTCTCTCTCTCTCTCTCTCTCTCTCACCAGTATCTCTACACCAGTGTCAACACAGTGAGATATACAATGTTTAAACGTATTTCAGTGTATATACAATAATGCATCTCTGTTTGGTGTATATTTATAGATATACACATCAGAGTATATATTCTGAGTAAACGTTGAGCTGTGAGAGCGAACAGTTGTAAACTGTTGTATGTGTGAAAACTATGATGGTGGTAGTGGTGGTAGTGGTGGTAGTGGTGGTATGTGTGTGGTAGTGGTGGTTAGTGGTGGTATGGTGAGGTGGTAGTGGTGGTAGTGGTGGTAGTGTGTGGTAGTGGTGGTAGTGGTGGTAGTGGTGGTAGTGGTGTGGTGAGTGGTGGTAGTTGGTATTGGTAGTAGTGGTAGTGGTGGTAGTGGTGGTAGTGGTGAGTATGGTGGTGTTGGTAGTGGTGGTAGTGGGTGGTAGTGGTGGTAGTGGTGGTAGTGTGTAGGTGGTAGTGGTGTAGTAGTGGTGTGTAGTGGTGGTAGTGGTGAGTGGCAGTGGTGGTAGTAGTGGTGGTAGTGGTGGCTAGTGGTGGTAGTGGTGGTAGTGGTGTTGGTGGTGGTAGTGGTGGTAGTGGTGGTCAGTGGTGGTAGTGGTGGTAGTGGTGGCAGTGGTGTGTATGTGGTGAGTAGTGGTTGGTAGTGAGTGGTGGTTATGATGGTGTTTGTGAGTGCAGTGGTATTGTAGTGTAGTGTGTGGTGTGGTGCAGTGGTGTGGTTGTGTAGTGCAGTGGTGGAGTTGTGAGGCAGTGTGTTTGTGAGTTCAGTGGTGTAGTTGTGATGCAATGGTGTAGTTGTGAGTGCAGTGGTGTATTGTGAGTGCAGTGATGTGGTTGTGAGTGCAGTGGTGTGGTTGTGAGTGCAGTGGTGTAGTTGTGAGTGCAGTGGTGTAGTTGTGAGTGCAGTGGTGTGGTTGTGAGTTCAGGGTGTGGTTGTGAGTGCAGTGGTGTGGTTGTAGAGTGCAGTGATGTGGTTGTGAGTGCAGTGATGTGGTTGTGAGTGCAGTGGTGTAGTTGTGAGTGCAGTGGGGTTGTGATGCAGTGTGGTGGAGTGCAGTGGTGTGGTTGTGAGTGCAGTGGTGTGGTTGTGAGTGCAGTGATGTAGTTGTGAGTGCAGTGATGTGGTTGTGAGTGCAGGGGTGTGGTTGTGAGTGCAGTGGTGTGGTTGTGAGTGCAGTGGTGGTGTTGTGAGTGCAGTGGTGTGGTTGTGAGTGCAGTGGTGTGGTTGTGAGTGCAGTGGTGTGGTTGTGAGTGCAGTGGTGGTGTTGTGAGTGCAGTGGTGTGGTTGTGAGTGCAGTGGTGTGGTTGTGAGTGCAGTGGTGTGGTTGTGAGTGCAGTGGTGTGGTTGTGAGTGCAGTGGTGTAGTTGTGAGTGCAGTGATGTGGTTGTGAGTGCAGGGTGTGGTGTTGTGAGTGCAGTGGTGTGGTTGTAGTGCAGTGGGTGTAGTTGTGAGTGCAGTGGTGTGGTTGTGAGTGCAGTGGTTGTGGTTGTGAGTGCAGTGGTGTGGTTGTGAGTGCAGTGGTGTAGCTGTGAGTGCAGTTGGTGTAGTTGTGGAGTGCAGTGGTGTGGTTGTGAGTGCAGTGGTGTAGTTGTGAGTGCAGTGGTGTTGTTCTGAGTGCAGTGGTGTAGTTGTGAGTGCAGTGGTGTGGTTGTGAGTGCAGTGGTGTAGTTGTGAGTGCAGTGGTGTAGTTGTGAGTGCAGTGATGTGGTTGTGAGTTCAGGGGTGTGGTTGTGAGTGCAGTGTGTGGTTGTGAGTGCAGTGGTGTAGTTGTGAGTGCAGTGGTGTAGTTGTGAGTGCAGTGGTGTAGTTGTGAGTGCAGTGGTGTTGGGTTCTGAGTGCAGTGGTTAGTTGTGAGTGCAGTGGTGTGTGGGAGTTTTGTGTAGTGCAGTGATGTGGTTGTGAGTGCTTAGGGAGGAGTGGTTGTGAGTGCAGTGATGTGGTTGTGAGTGCAGTGGTGTAGTTGTGAGTGCAGTGGTGTAGTTGTGAGTGCAGTGGTGTAGTTGTGAGTGCAGTGGTGTGGTTGTGAGTGCAGTGGTGTAGTTGTGAGTGCAGTGGTGTGGTTGTGAGTGCAGTGGTGTAGTTGTGAGTGCAGTGGTGGTGAGTTGATGTGTGCAGTGGTGTGGTTGTGAGTGCAGTGGTGTGTTGTGAGTGCAGTGGTGTTGTTGTGAGTGCAGTGGTGTGGTTGTGAGTGCAGTGGTGTGTTGTGAGTGCAGTGGTGTTGTTTGAGTGCAGTGGTGTAGTTGTGAGTGCAGTGGTGTGGTTGTGAGTGCAGTGGTTGTGTTGTGAGTGCAGTGGTGTGGTTGTGAGTGCAGTGGTGTAGTTGTGAGTGCAGTGGTGTGATCGTGAGTGCAGTGGTGTAGTTGTGAGTGCTGTGAGTGTGGTCGTGTGAGTATCAGGGGTGTGGTTGTGAGTGCAGTTGGTGTGATGTTAGTTGTGTGAGTGCAGTGGATTTTGGTTGTGAGTGCAGTGGTGTAGTTGTGAGTGCAGGTAGTGTGTAGGTTGTGGGGTGCAGTGGTGTAGTTGTGAATGCAGTGGTGTAGTTGTGAGTGCACGTGATAGGTTGTGAGTGCAGTGGTAGTTGAGTAGTTGTGAGTGCAGTGGTGTAGTTGTGAGTGCAGTGGTGTAGTTGTGAGTGCAGTGGTGTAGTTGTGAGTGCACTGATATGGTTGTGAGTGCAGTGGTGTAGTTGTGAGTGCAGTGGTGTAGTTGTGAATGCAATGGTGTGGTTGTGAGTGCAGTGGTGTAGTTGTGAGTGCAGTGGTGTAGTTTAGTGACGAGTGAGTGCAGTGGTGTAGTTGTGAGTGCAGTGATGTGGTTGTGAGTGCAGTGGTGTAGTTGTGAGTGCAGTGGTGTAGTTGTGAGTGCAGTGGTGTAGTTGTGAGTGCAGTGGTGTAGTTGTGAGTGCAGTGGTGTAGTTGTGAGTGCAGTGATGTGGTTGTGAGTGCAGTGGTGTAGTTGTGAGTGCACTGATATGGTTGTGAGTGCAGTGGTGTAGTGTGTGAGTGCAGTGGTTGTAGTTGTGAGTGCAGTGGTGTAGTTGTGAGTGCATGATATGGTTGTGTGAGTGCAGTTGGTGTAGGTTGTGAGTGCAGTGGATTGTCAGTTGTGTAATGCATGGTGTGTGGTTGTGTGAGTCTGTAGTGGTTTGTAGTTGTGAGTGCAGTGGTGTAGTTGTGAGTTCACTGATTGGTTGTGAGTGCAGTGGTGTAGTTGTGAGTGCAGTGGTGTAGTTGTGAGTGCAGTGGTGTAGTTGTGAGTGCAGTGGTATGGTTGTGAGTGCAGTGGTGTAGTTGTGAGTGCAGTGGTGTAGTTGTGAGTGCACTGATATGGTTGTGAGTGCAGTGGTGTAGTTGTGAGTGCAGTGGTGTAGTTGTGAGTGCAGTGGTGTAGTTGTGAGTGCACTGATATGGTTGTGAGTGCAGTGGTGTAGTTGTGAGTGCATGTGTAGCTGTGAGTGCACTGATATGGTTGTGAGTGCAGTGGTGTAGTTGTGAGTGCAGTGGTGTGGTTGTGAGTGCAGTGGTGTAGTTGTGAGTGCAGTGTTGAGTATGTGGTTGTGAGTGCAGTGGTGTAGTTGTGAGTGCAGTGGTGTGATCGTGAGTGCAGTGGTGTAGTTGTGAGTGCTGTGTTATGATTGGTTGTGAGTTCAGGGGTGTGGTTGTGAGTGCAGTGGTGTAGTTGTGAGTGCAGTGATGTGGTTGTGAGTGCAGTGGTGTAGTTGTGAGTGCAGTGGTTGTGTAGTTGTGTGAGTGCAGTGGTATGGTAGATTGTTGAGTGCAGTGGTGTAGTTGTGAGTGCAGTGGTGTAGTTGTGATGCAGTGGTGTAGTTGTGAGTGCACTGATATGGTTGTGAGTGCAGTGGTGTAGTTGTGAGTGCAGTGGTGTAGTTGTGAGTGCAGATGGTGTGTTGCGAGTGCAGTGGTGTAGTTGTGAGTGCAGTGGTGTAGTTGTGAGTGCACTGATATGGTTGTGAGTGCAGTGGTGTAGTTGTGAGTGCAGTGGTGTAGTTGTGAATGCAATGGTGTGGTTGTGAGTGCAGTGGTGTAGTTGTGAGTGCAGTGGTGTAGTTGTGAGTGCAGTGGTGTAGTTGTGAGTGCAGTGGTGTAGTTGTGAGTGCAGTGATGTGGTTGTGAGTGCAGTGGTGTAGTTGTGAGTGCAGTGGTGTAGTTGTGAGTGCAGTGGTTGTAGTTGTGAGTGCAGTGGTTTAGTTGTGAGTGCAGTGGTGTAGTTGTGAGTGCAGTGATGTGGTTGTGAGTGCAGTGGTGTAGTTGTGAGTGCACTGATATGGTTGTGAGTGCAGTGGTGTAGTTGTGATATGCAGTGGTTGTAGTTGTGAGTGCACTGATATGGTTGTGAGTGCAGTGGTGTAGTTGTGAGTGCAGTGGTGTAGTTGTGAGTGCAGTGTGTAGTTGTGAGTGCACTTGATATGTTGTGAGTGCAGTGGTGTAGTTGTGAGTGCAGTGGTGTAGTTGTGAATGCAATGGTGTGGTTGTGAGTGCAGTGGTGTAGTTGTGAGTGCAGTGGTGTAGTTGTGAGTGCACTGATAGGTTGTGAGTGCAGTGGTGTGTTGTGGAGTGCAGTGGTGTAGTTGTGAGTGCAGTGGTGTAGTTGTGAGTGCACTGATATGGTTGTGAGTGCAGTGGTGTAGTTGTGAGTGCAGTGGTGTAGTTGTGAGTGCATGATATGGTTGTGAGTGCAGTGGTGTGTTGTTGAGTGCAGTGGTGTAGTTGTGAGTGCAGTGGTGTAGTTGTGAGTGCACTGATTGGTGTGAGTGCAGGTGGTGTAGTTGCGAGTGCAGTGGTGTAGCTGTGAGTGCACTGTATGGTTGTGAGTGCAGTGGTTGTAGTTGTGAGTGCACTTGTATGGTTGTGAGTGCAGTGGTGTAGTTGTGAGTGCAGTGGTGTAGTGTGTGAGTGAGTGATGTGGTTGTGAGTGCAGTGTGTAGTTGTGAGTGCAGTGGTGTAGTTGTGAGTGCAGTGATGTGGTTGTGAGTGCAGTGGTGTAGTTGTGGTGCAGTGATGTGGTTGTGAGTGCAGTGGTGTGTTGTGAGTGCAGTGATGTGGTTGTGAGTGCAGTGGTGTAGTTGTGAGTGCAGTGGTGTAGTTGTGAGTGCAGTGGTGTAGTTGTGAGTGCAGTGGATGTGGTTGTGGTGCAGTGGTGTAGTTGTGAGTGCAGGGTGTAGTTGTGAGTGCAGTGGTGTAGTTGTGAGTGCAGTGGTGTAGTTTTGAGTGCAGTGGTGTAGTTGTGAGTGCAGTGATGTGGTTGTGAGTGCAGGGGGGTGGTTGTGAGTGCAAATGGTGTAGTTGTGAGTGCAGGGGTGTGGTTGTGAGTGCAAATGATGTGGTTGTGAGTGCAGGGGGTGTGGTGTGAGTGCGGGGGTGGGTGTGAGTGCAGTGCTGTAGTTGTGAGTACATGGTGTAGTTGTTGAGTGTCAGTGGTGTAGTGGTGACTGCGGGGTGTAGTTGTGAGTGCAGGGTGTACTTGTGAGGCGTGGTGGTTGTGAGTGCAGGGGGGTGTGGTTGAGTGCAGTGCTGTACTTGTGGTGCAGGTGGTGTATTGTGAGTGCAGTGGAGTTGAGTGCAGATTGGTTGTGGTGCCAGTGTTGGCTGTGAGTGCAGTGATGTGGTTGTGAGTGCAGGGTGTGGTTGTGAGTGCAGTTGTGTGGTTGTGAGTGCAGTGGTGTAAATTGTGAGTGCAGTGATGTAGTTGTGAGTGCAGGGGTGTGGTTGTGGGTGCAGTGGTGTGGTTTTTGAGTTCAGGAGTGTGATTTTGAGTGCAGTGGTGTGGTTGTGAGCGCAGTGGTGTTGTTCGGAGTGCAGTGATTAGTTGTGAGTGCAGTGGTGTGGTTGTGAGTGCAGGGGTGTGGTTGTGATTGCAAGGGTGTGGTTGTGAGTCCAGGGGTGTGGTTGTGAGTGCAGAGGTGTGGTTGTGAGTCCAGGGGTGTGGGGTATACTTACTGGGCAGCTCCAGGAAGTTTGACCTGCGTCGTTGCTTGAATCTGGTGTACCCGAGAGGTGCCACATCCCCAGCCTCACTGTCACGGGATGACCTCCGGGAAGCCAGGTAAGCAAGGTTACCTCCTCTACCTGGGCTGAGAAGAGACACAGACTTGGTCAATACTGTCTCTCTCTCTCTCTCTAGGAATACTGACTTCACACACACACACACACACACACACACACACACACACACACACACACACATATATATATATATATGTATATATATATATATATATATATATATATATATATATATATATATATATATATATATATATATTATATATATATATATATATATATATATATATATATATATATATATATATATATATATAATGAATAACCCTGAGCGGTCTGGTGTTTACATGTATATGGTAATTTCTTTAAAGTTGTTGGGTTCTGTGAGCTTTTCAGAAGCTGTATGGAAGCTTAAGATGCAGCTGAAGTTTACCCCATGAATGATCAAGCTGAGACGCTGGAAGAAGCTGGTGAAAGCTTTTGGAACCTCCAGGGGTTGTTCCAGTGAGTTTGGAACACAGCTTTCTGTGAACACTTGAGGCCAATGTTCCCTGAGGATGAAGTGCTGCCTGTGGGACAAGTGTTGCCTGTGGGACAAGTGTTGCCTGTGGGACAAGTGTTGCCTGTGGGACAAGTGCTGCCTGTGGGACAAGTGTTGCTTGTGGGACAAGTGTTGCCTGTGGGACAAGTGTTGCTTGTGGGACAAGTGTTGCCTGTGGGACAAGTGTTGCCTGTGGGACAAGTGTTGCTTGTGGGACAAGTGTTGCCTGTGGGACAAGTGCTGCCTGTGGGACAAGTATTGCCTGTGGGACAAGTGTTGCCTGTGGGACAAGTGCTGCCTGTGGGACAAGTGTTGCTTGTGGGACAAGTGTTGCCTGTGGGACAAGTGTTGCTTGTGGGACAAGTGTTGCCTGTGGGACAAGTGTTGCCTGTGGGACAAGTGTTGTTTGTGGGACAAGTGTTGCCTGTGGGACAAGTGCTGCCTGTGGGACAAGTATTGCCTGTGGGACAAGTGTTGCCTGTGGGACAAGTGTTGCCTGTGGGACAAGTGCTGCCTTTGGGGCAAGTGTTTCTTGTGGGACAAGTGCTGCCTGTGGAACAAGTGCTGCCTGTGGGACAAGTGCTGCCTGTGGGACAAGTGCTGACTGTGGAACAAGTGTTGCTTGTGGGAAAAGTGTTTCCTGTGGGACAAGTGCTGCCTGTGGAATAAATGCTGCCTGTGGAACAAGTGCTACCTGTGGGACAAGTGCTGCCTGTGGCCCAAGTACTGCCTGTGGCCCAAGTGTTGCCTGTGGGACAAGTGCTGCCTGTGGGACAAGTGCTGCCTGTGGGACAAGTGCTGCCTGAGGCCCAAGTACTGCCTGTGGGACAAGTGCTGCCTGTGGGACAGGTGCTGCCTGTGAGACAAGTGCTGCCTGTGGGACAAGTACTACCTGTGGGACAAGTGTTGCCTGTGGGACAAGTGTTGCCTGTGGGACAAGTGTTGCTTGTGGGAGAAGTGTTGTCTGTGGGACAAGTGCTGCCTGTGGGACAAGTACTGCTTGTGGCCCAAGTATTGCCTGTGGCCCAAGTGTTGCCTGTGGCCCAAGTGTTGCCTGTGGGAGAAGTGTTGCCTGTGGGACAAGTGTTGCCTGTGGGACAAGTGCTGCCTGTGGGACAAGTACTGCTTGTGGCCCAAGTATTGCCTGTGGCCCAAGTGTTGCCTGTGGCCCAAGTGTTGCCTGTGGGACAAGTGCTGCCTGTGGGACAAGTGTTGCCTGTGGGACAAATGCCATAACATCTGTCATATGTCATACGGCACTTGTACGTCAACTGACACTTCATACGACACGTTGGGGAATAAGAGGCTTAAGTGCTAAGTGGCGAGTAAGAGGAGTGTGGAAGATACCTTTAGTAGAGTTAATGAGGGGAAGTGTCAGTCAGTGGGAGGTTAATATGGGCGTGTGAGGGGAGGTGTCAGTCAGTGAACGGTTAATATGGGTGTGTGAAGGGAAGTGTCAGTCAGTGGGAGGTTAATATGGGTGTGTGAGGGGAAGTGTCAGTCAGTGGGAGGTTAATATGGGCGTGTGAGGGGAAGTGTCAGTCAGTGGGAGGTTAATATGGGTGTGTGAGGGGAAGTGTCAGTCAGTGGGAGGTTAAATGGGTGTGTGGAGGAGGTGTCAGTTAGTGGGTGGTTAATATGGTTGTGTGAGGGGAAGTGTTAGTCAATGGGAAGTTAATATAGGTGTGTGAGGGAAATTTTCAGTCAGTGGGTGGTTAATATGGGTGTGTGAGGGAAAATGTCAGTCAGTGGGTGGTTAATATGGGTGTGTGGGAAGGTGTCAGTCAGTGGGAGGTTAATATGGGTGTGTGAGAGAGGGTGTCAGTTAGTGGGTGGTTAATTTTGGGTGTGGAGGGGAAGTGTTAGTCAATGGGAGGTTAAAATGGGTGTGTGAGGGGGGAAATGTTAGTCAGTGGGAGGTTAATTTGGGGGTTTTGAGGGGAAGTGTTAGTCAGTGGGTGGTTAATATGGGTGTGTGAAGGGAAGTGTAGTCAGTGGGAGGTTAATATGGATGTGTGAGGGGAAAATGTTAGTCATTGGGGGGATTAATATGGGTGTGTGAGGGGGAAATGTCAGTCAGTGGGAGGTTAATATGGGTGTGGAGGGGGAGGTATCAGTCAGTGGAGGTTTTAAAATGGGTGTGTGGGGGGGAGGTGTCAGTTAGTGGGTGGTTTAAAATGGGTGTTTTGAGGGGGAAATGGGCAGTCAGTGGGTGGTTAATATGGGTGTTGTGAGGGGAAGTGTCAGTCAGTGGGAGGTTAATATGGGTGTGTGGGGGAGGGATCAGTCATGGGAGGTTAATATGGGTGTGTGAGGGGAGGTGTCAGTTAGTGGGTGGGTTAATATGGATGTGTGAGGGCAAGTGTCAGTCAGTGGGTGGTTAATATGGGTGTGTGAGGGGAAGTGTCAGTCAGTGGGAGGTTAATATGGGTGTGTGAGGGGAGGTGTCAGTCAGTGGGAGGTTAATATGGGTGTGTGAGGGGAAGTGTCAGTCAGTGGGTGGTTAAAAATGGGTGTGTGAGGGAAAGTGTTTGTCGTGTGGGGGTTTATATGAGTGTGTGAGGGGAGGTGTCACTCAGTGGGTGGTTAATATGGGTGTGTGAAGGGAAAGTGTCAGTCAGTGGGTGGTTAATATGGGTGTGTGAGGGAAAGTGTTAGTCAGTGTGAGGTTAATATGAGTGTGTGAGGGGAGGTGTCACTCAGTGGGTGGTTAATTGGGTGTGTGAAGGGAATGGTCAGTCAGTGGGTGGTTAATATGGGTGTGTGAGGGAAAGTGTCAGTCAGTGGAGGTTAATATATGTGTGTGAGGGGAAAGTGTCAGTCAATGGGAGGTTAATATGGGTGTGTGAAGGAAAATGTCAGTCATGTGGGAGGATAATATGGGTTTTGTGAAGGGAAGTGTCAGTCAAGTGGGAGGTTAATATGGGTGTGTGAAGGGAAGTGTCAGTAAGTGGGAGGTTTTTAAAATGGGTGTGTGAAGGGAAGAGTGCAGTCAGTGGGAGGGTAATATGGCGTGAGAGGGGAAGTGTCAGTCAGTGGGAGGTTAATATGGGTGAGTGTAGGGAAGTGTCAGTCAGTGGGAGGTTAATATGGGTGTGTGAGGGGAAGTGTCAGTCAGTGGGTGGCTGACCTCTGGCAGGGGAAAAGGGCAGGAGGAAGGGAGGGAGGTAGGGAGAGCAGGAGGAAGGGAGGGGAAGGGAGGGGGAGAGAGGGCAGGAGGGAGGAAGGGAGGGTAAAGAGAGAGGGAGGGCAAGAGGGAGGGAAGGCAGGAGGGGGGCGGGAGGGTAAAAGAGAGGGAGGGCAAGAGAGAGGGAGGGCAGGAGGGAGGGAGGGAGGGCAAGAGGGAGGGAAGGCAGGAGAGAGGGGGGAGGGCAAGAGGGAGGGAGGGCAAAAGGTCAGGAGGTAAGGAGGTCAGGAGGTCAGGAGGTCAGGAGGTCAGGAGGTCAGGAGGTCAGGGAGGTCAGTAGGTTAGGAGGGCAGGAGGTCAGGAGGGCAGGAGGTCAGGAGGGCAGGAGGTCAGGAGGGCAGGATGTCAGGAGGGCAGGAGGTCAGGAGGTCAGGAGGGCAGGAGGCAGGAGGGCAGGAGGGCAGGAGGTCAGGAGGGCAGGGGGGCAGGAGGGCAGGAGAGCAGGAGGGCAGGAGGGCAGGAGGGCAGGGAGGGGAGAAGGTCAGGAGGGCCGGAGGGAGGGGAGGGAGGGCAAAAGGGAGGGAGGGAGGGAGGGAGGGGCAAGGGCAGGGGGGAGGGAGGGAGGGCAGGAGGGAGGGAGGGCAGAAGGGAAGTAGGGTAGGAGGAAGGGAGGGCAGGAGGGGAGGGAGGGCAGGAGGGAGGGAGGGAGGGCAAGAGGGAGGGAAAGGGAAAAAAGGGCAGGAGGTAAGGAGGTCAGGAGGTTTAGGAGGTCAGGAGGTCAGTAGGTTAGGGGGCAGGAGGTTTAGGAGGGCAGGAGGTCAGGAGGGCAGGAGGTCAGGGAGGGCAGGATGTCAGGAGGGCAGGAGGTCAGGAGGTCAGGGGGCGGAGGGCAGGAGGGCAGGAGAGCGGAGGGCGGAGGTCAGGAGGGCAGGAGGGCAGGGGCGGAGAGCAGGAGGCGGAGGGCAGGAGGGGAGAGGGCAGAAGGTCGGAGGGGAAGGGAGGGGGGGGAGGGCAAAAGGGGGGAGGGGGGAGGGGGGGGGGGGGGCGGAGGGGAGGGAGGGGGGGAGGAGGGGGGGAGGGCAGGAAAGGGGGGTAGGGTGGAGGAAGGGGGGCAGGGGGAGGGGGGGGCGGAGGAGGGAGGGGGGGGGCAGGAGAGAGGGGAGGGAGGAGAAAGGGAGGGAGGGCAGGGGGGGGAGGGGGAGGGGGAGGGGGGGCAGGAGGGGGCAGGGCAGGAGGGGGGGAGGAGGGCAGAAGGGAGGGGGGGAGGGCAGGGGGAGGGAGGGGGGCAGGGGGAGGGTGGAGGGCAGGAGAGAGGGGGGGAGGGGGGTGGGAGGGGGGCAGGGGAAGGGGGGGAGGGAGGGAAAAGGAGGGGGGGCAGGGGGAGGGAGGGCAGGAGGGAGAAGGGAGGGAGGTAAGGCAGGGGGAGGGGGGGCAGAAAGGGAGGGGGTAAGGCAGGAGGGGGGGGAGGGCGGAGGGGGGAGGGCAGGGGGGAGGGGGGGAGGGCAGAAAGGGGGGGGGGGGAGGAGGGAGGGAGGGAGGAGGGCAGGAGGGAGGGAGGGGGGCGGAGGGAGGGAGGAGGGGAAGGAGGGAGGAGGGGGGGAGGGAGGGAAGGAGGGCAGGAGGGAAGGGAGAAGGGAGGGGGGAAAAGGGGGCAGGAGGGAGGGGGGAGGGAGAGGGGAGGGGAAGGAGGGAGGGCAGGAGGGAGGGGGGCAGGAGGGAGGGAGAGCAGGGGGGGGGAGGGAGGGAGGGAGGGAGGGGAGAAGGGAGGGAGGGGGGGGGGGGAGGGGGTAGGGCAGGGGGAGGGGGGGGGGCGGAAGGGGGGGAGGGGAGGGCCCAAAAGGGGGAGGGAGAGCAGGAGGGGGGGGAGGGAGGGAGGAAGGAGAAAAAGGGCAGGAGGGAGGGAGGGGAGGAGGGAGGGAGGGGGGGGGCGAAGGGAGGGGGGAGGGGAGGAGGGAGGGAGGGAGGGAGGAGGGGGGGGAGGGAGGGCAGGGGGAGGGAGGGAGGGAGGGAGGGGGGGAGGGGGGGAGGGAGGGCAGGAGGGGGGGAGGGAGGGGGGAGGGGGAAGGGGGGAGGGGGAGGAGGGGAAAAGGGGGGAAAGGAGGTAGGGAGGGAGGGAGGGTGGGGGGGAGGGAGGGCAGAGGGGGGAGGGGCAGGAGGGAGGGGGGGGGAGGGAGGGGAGGAGAGAGGGGGGGCAGGAGGGAGGGGGGGGGAGGGGGGGAGGGGGGAGGGAGGGAGGGGAGGGGAGGGGGGGGCAGGAGGGGGGGGGAGGGGGGAGGAGGGAGGGGGGGAGGGGGGAGGGAGGGAGGAGGGAGGGAGGGAGGGGGGGAGGGAGGGAGGGGAGGGAGGGGGGGAGGGAGGGCAGGGGGGGGAGGGAGGGAGGGGGCGAGGGAGGGGGGCGGGGGGGGGGAGGGAGGGAAGGGAGGGGGGGAAAGGGAGGGGGGGAAAGGGGGGAGGGGAGGAGGGAGGGGCAAGGGGGGGAGGGGGCAGGAGGGAGGGAGGGGAGGGAGGGAGGGAGGGGGAGGGGGGAGGGAGGGGGGGGGTGGGGGGGGGGAGGGAGGGTGGGAGGGAGGGAGGGAGGGGGGGGTGGGAGGGAGGTGGGGGGGGAGGGGAAGGGGGGGAGGGGATGGGGGGGGAGGAGGGAAAGGGGGGAAAGGGGGGGGGAGGGGAAAGGGGGAAGGGGGGGAGGGAGGGGGGAAGGGAGGGGGAGAGGGGGGGAGGGAGGGGGGAGGGAGGGAGGGGGAGGGAGGGAAGGGAGGGAGGGGGGGGTGGAGGGAGGGGGGGGGGGGGATTTTAGGGAGGAAGGGGAAAGGGGAGGGAGGGGGGGGGGAGGGAGGGGTGAGGGGGGAGGGGGGTGGAGGGCAGAGGGGGGGAGGGAGGGAGGGCGGGGGAGGGAGGGGGGGAAGGGAGGGGGGGGGGGGGGCAGGGGGAGGAGGGGGGGGGGAGGGAGGGAGGGAGGGGGAAGGGGGAGGGGGGGGGAGGGAAGGGGAAAAGGGAGGGGGGAGGGGGGGGAGGGGGGGTAGGGGGGGAGGGGGGGGGGAGGGGGGGAGGAGGGAGGGAGGGAGGAGGGGGGGGAGGGCAGGGGGAGGGAGGGAGGGGGAGGGGGGGGAAAAGGAGGGGGTGAGGGGGGGGGGGGGAGGGAGGGGGAGGGGGGGAGGGGAAGGAGGGAGGAGGGAGGGGGGGAAAGGGAAGAGGGAGGAGGGCAGGAGGGAGGGAGGGGGGGGGGGGAGGGGAGGGAGGAGGGGGGAGGGAAGGGGGGGGGAGGAAGGGGGGGCAGGAGGGGGGAGGGAGGGAGGGGGGAGGGGGGAGGGAGGGGGGAGGGGGAGGGGGGGAAGGGGTTGGGGGGGGGGGGAGGGGGGGAGGAGGGGGGAGGGCAGGAGGGGGGAGGGCAGGAGGGAGGGGGGCAAGGGGGGGAGGGGGGGGAGGGCAGGGGGAGGGAGGGAGGGGGGGGGGAGGGATTTAGGGGGGTGAAGGGGGGGGGAAGGGGGGGGAGGGGGGGAGGGAGGGGGTGGGGGAGGGGTCGGGGGGAGGGAGGGCAGGAGGGAGGGGGGAGGGGGGAGGGGGGAGGGGGGAGGGAGGGGGGGGGGGGGGGGAGGGAGGGAGGGCAGGAGGGAGGGGGGGAGGGAGGGGGAGGGGGAGGGGGGGCAGGGGGAGGGGGGCAGGAGGGAGGGAGGGAGGGAGGGAGGGGGAGGGAGGGGAGGGAGGGGGGGGCAGGAGGAGGGAAAGGGGGGGGGGAGGGAGGAGGGGGGAGGGGGGGGGGCAAAGGGGGGGGAGGGGGGGGGCAGGAGGGAGGAGGGGGGAGGGGGAGGGAGGGAGGGGGAGGGAGGGGGGGGAGGGAGGGGGGAGGGAGGGGGGGGGGTAGGGGGCAAGGGGGGGGGGCAGGAGGGAGGGAGGAGGGGAGAGGGGGGAGGGAGGGCAGGGGGGGGAGGGGGGGGCAGGAGGGAGGGAGGGGGGAGGGGGGGGGGAGGGCAAGGGAGGGGGGGGGGGGAGGGAGGGGGGGGGGAGGGGGGAGGGAGGGAGGAGGGGGGGAAGGGCGGGGGAGTGAGGGAGGGCGGAGGGAGGGAGGGAGGGGCGGAGGGAGGGAGGGGGGAGGGAGGGAGGGAAGGGGGGCAAATTTAAACCCTAAAAATTTTAAATCTTAAAAAAAAGGAAAACAAAAACGGGAGGGAGGGGGATGGGAGGAGGGTGGGAGGGTGGGATGGAAGGGAGGGAGGGGAAGGGAGGGTAAGAGGGGGGGAGGAGGGAGGGAGGAGACGGGGAGGGACGAGGGAGGCTGGGGCAAAGGGAGGGGAGGAGGGAGGAGGGGGGAGGGCAGGGAGGGGCAGGGGGGGAGGGAGGGAGGAGGAGGGAGGAGGGAGGGAGGAGGGAGGAGGGAGGGCTAGGAGAAAAGTAGGAGGGAGGGCGATGAGAGGACAGGGGGAGGGAGGGGGAGGGAGGGAGGAGAGGAGTGAGGGAGGGGGAGGGAAAAGGGAGGGAGGCAGGTGGAGGCAGGTGAGGGAAAGCGGTGAAAAGGACGTGGGAGGAGGGAGGGAAAAGGGGAGGACAGAGGGAGGGAATTTGGAAAGGGAAAAGGGAGGGAGGGAGGAAAAGGGAGGGAAAAAGGGGGGAGGAGGCGGGGGGGGCTGGAAAAGGCTGGGGACTGGGGAAAGGGAGGGCAGAGGGAGGGAAAAAGGGAGGGAGAAAGGGGGAGGGAGGAGGCGGAATTAAGAGACAAAAAAGCAAGTAGGGAAAGGGTAAAGGAAGTAAAGGGCCAGAGTGAGAGAGAAAGTTGAGGAGAAGAGTGAGAAAGGGAAAAAGGGAGAAAAAAGAGTGGGGAAAAAGAGTGAGGGGAAAGGGGAGAGAGAAAAGTGAGGGGAGGGGAGAGAGAAAAAGTGAGAAAGAAGAGTGAGAAAGGGGGATGAGAGAGACAGAGTGAGGAGACGGTGAGAGAGACAGAGTGAGAGAGACAGAGTGAGAAAAAAGGGTGAGAAAAAAGGTGAGGGAAAAGTGGGGAGGGTGAGGAGACAGAGTGGAGAGAAGAGTGGAAGACAGAGTGAGAAAGCGGTGAGGAGAAAAAGGGGAAGAGTGTGGGGAAGAGTGAGGAAAAAGAGTGAGAGGACAGGGGAGAGAGACAGAGTGAGAGAGAAAGGAGAAAGAAGAGTGGAAAAACAGGTGAGAGGACAGAGTGAGAAGGGGCAGGTGGAAGCAGATGGGAAGACGAGTGAGAAAAACAGAGTGAGAAGGGCAGAGTGAGAAGTGGGTGAGAGAACAGAGTGAGAGAGACAGATGAGAAGACAGAGTGGGGAAAGACAGAGTGAGAAAGACAGAGTGAGAGAGACGAGTGAGAGAGACAGAGTGAGGGACAGTGAGGAGACAGAGTGAGAAAGACAGAGTGAGAAAGACAGAGTGGAGAGAAGAGTGAGAAGGGTGTGAGGAGACAGAGTGAGAGAGACGAGTGAGAGGGAGGGGAAGAGTGGAGAGACAGAGTGAAAAGAAGGAAGAGGAGTGAGAGGCAGAGTGAGAAAGACAGAGTGAGAGAGACGAGTGAGAGAGACAGAGTGAGAGAGACAGAGTGAGAGAGACAGAGTGAGAGAGACAGAGTGAGAGAGACAGAGTGAGAGAGACAGAGAGAGACAAAGTGAGAGAGAGACACACACACTACCTCACTTGTCTTTTTGCTTCTTCTATTCTTTACTCACTCCTGTTCTTCTCATTTTCTGCTTTTTGTATATATATAATATATATATATATATATATATATAGATTATATATATATTATATATCATATATATATATATATTAACATGTGGAAAAATGCCACAGGGTTCCTTAAAGAACTGGGTTTCAGGACTGATCGACACAACCAGGGACCCAAGAGCAGCCACTTTCATGTTACGCGTTCAGCGTGGCCATCCAGAGGGGAAATACTTGCTGCATACTGGGCTCGCGTCCGGCCTCGGAGGAGCTGGAGGAGATTCATAACCTTTGATATATTGTACCAGCTGTATTCATTCTTAGTGTTTTCTGTCAACGTTTCTGTCTATTAATTAAAGTAAGTATAATATATAAATATATATATATATATTATAATTATATATATATATATATATATATTATATATATATATATATTATATTATATATATATATATATATAAAATTATTACCTTGCTGGAGAACAGGGTCTGGAGCCTCTTGGAGTCCTTGGACTAAGAGGACTACAGGGACTCTTGGGACTGAAGGGACTCTTGGGACTGAAGGGACTCCTGGGACTCTTGGGACTCTTTGGGCTCTTGGGACTGAGGGGAGACATGGTGACATCTGAGTCTATGTAGTCCTGGGAGGTTGAGGAGTTCTTGTAGCCGCTGAGAGATGTGGAGTCACTGTCCGTGGATGTCAGGCGGATGCTGGCTAGACCAGACATTGTGCTGGAATGTGGTGGGGTCTGCTTGAGATGTGGCTTGTCGGGGGCGCTGGCTGAGGTGGATGTTGTAGTGGGTGTTGTTGATGTGGGTGTTGTCGACCTGGGTTTTGTTTTCGTTGTTGCTACTGCGTTCGTGAGTGTTGTTGTCGTGGCTGCTACGACGTTCGTGAGTGTTGTTGTCGTGGGTGTTGATGTAGGTGCTGTGTTCGCATGTGTTGTTGTCGCAGTTGCTACGTTCATATGTGTTGTCGTGGTTACTACTTTCGGGGTATTGTCGTGGACTCTGCAGTCGGGTTAGTTATCGTCTTGGGCTTGGATGTTAGCTGCTGTGATTGTTGTTACAGTTGTTGTGTTGCTTATGTTTTAACAAAGCTGTGAGATTGGTTGCCAGCGGTGTATAAAATGATTAATTTATTGACGGTCTCTGGCTACAACCTGGCGAAAAGGAAGGTGTTGAAGCACTTATTGAACGTTACTAGAAGAATCGAAGTATTTTGGGGGAACGCTAATAAAGGCTTAGAAGTCTTATTGAACGATACTAGGAGTGTTGAAGTGCCTTTGAGGGCCGCTGATGTAGGTTAATACAGTGAGTGTGTCGAAAGGACTTCTGACATGTCTTGAGGAGGTATCGAGACGGTCAACGTGTGTGTGTTTGTGGTGTGTGTGTGTGTGTGTGGGGTGTGTGTGTGTGTGTGTGTGTTTTGTGTGTGTGTGTGTGTGTGTGTGTGTGCGGGGTGTGTGTGTCTATGGTGTATTACTGTACACTTTCTTAAAGTGCCTTTAGATACTGCTTGTTTAGGAGTACGTCCCTGAATGACCAGCAGCTGTATTTATACCAAAATCTAGTTTGTGTCATCAAACATTCTTACAAATGATGTATTTTGATGTATATCTAATGGACAGAGAATGTCTTGTCCTTCCAGTGTCAACACTCACAAGGATTATACAGATATCCACCTAAAATCAATCACTTCTTGCATATCAAGAAGGTGAAGACTAAAATAAATAAATAATATCTGAGAATTAACTCAGCAGAGAAAATTACTAATGAAAAGAGCAGCGTATAAAACCGAAGCAAAATCGTTATATTTGACGGTCATCTTGACAGTAACTACGCAACAGTGATCTATTATTCTGTGGGCAACTGTATGCGAAGCACTCATACAGACAAAAAAATGGTGTATGTTGTATGATATACAATTGTGTGGAGAGACGGTAGCTAGAGAAGCTGAGGTTAGGTCACTGTATGTTGATATGTAGGTGGGGTTGAGTGACTGTCAGTAATCTGACGGTGACAGTCTGTTTGCTGACAGTAGGGAGGGTTTAGTGGGCTCTGTGTGAGTGGGCAACGAGGTAGGTAGGTGTTCAAGCAGGTGGGTGTGCAGCTAGGTGAGTGGATTTATGTGGGGGGTAAGTAGATTTCAAACTTCCAGGTAGATATTTGTACGTCAGTATATGTCATGGTGGAGTTCTTCAATTGTGTGACAAAGGCTGGAAGTTCTTCAGTCGTGGACAAAGGCTGGAAGTTCTTCAAGTCCTGGATGGCTTGACGGCCTCATATAAAATCTTGGAGGCCTGGTTACTCTTCTTCAAGTCTTGGCCAAGGAATGGACACCCATCTTAAAGTCTTGGAGAGCTGGGCGCTCTTCTTCAAGTCCTGAACAACTGGTGGAGGAACTAATTTAAGACTTGGGCGACCCCCGGATCGAACTCTTAGTCTGAATGCTTGGTGGACGCCCTCCTTCAAGTCTTGCCAAGAATGACACCATTTAAATCTTGAAGGGTTTGAGCGATTTTTTTTAACTTCTTGAATTACTGCTTGACGCTCTCCTTCAAGTCTTAAAGACTTGTAGACGTTCTCAAGTCTTGAAAGATCGACTTCTTTTTTATTTCAAGTCTTAGCAAGGGCTAGGTTACCCTCTTTCAAGATTTTGCCGAAGCCTGGACCTTCAAGGTCTACTTGATAGGCAGTATTTGAAAAAAGAGAAAAACCCGTGAAATAGGTATGTTACCCCTTCAATATCACCTCCCTTTTCATAAATCTAAATTAAATTACCCTGGAGCTTATCTGTGTATTATTTTAAGGTTTATTCTATCTAGTCTCCCAGAGTCCTCATACTAAAGCCCCCCTTCTCTCTCTCTCTCTTCCTCTCTCTCTCTCCTTCTCTCTCTCGGCCACTCTTCCTCGTCTCCCGGTGTCAATAAGGCCCTGGAGGATATAAATTTTTGTGTTTACCTTTCATAAAGTTGCATCTCGATCGACTCATCATGCTGTAAATGATGGATGTTATCTTAGGTTTGAACGAGTTCTTCCTCTCTCTCTCTCTCTGTCCCCCCCTTTCTCTCTCTCTCTTCTCTCTCACTTGACCCTTTTCATACCAACAATTGTCAATTGGTTTAGCTTTTTTCTTTTATTCCTTCCTTTTTTTTTGTCTTTTTTTCTTGTTTTCTTCTTGTTGCTTTGTGTCGCCTTCTTCTCTCTCTCTCTCTCTCCTTTCCCCTCTCTCTCTCTCTTCTCTCTCTCTCTCTCTTTTCCTTTTCCTTTCTCTCTCTCTTCTTTTCTCTCTCTCTTCTCTCTCTCTCTCTCTCCCCTCTCTCTCTCTCTCTCTCTCTTAACATTCTTGGTTATCGTTTTCTTCTGTGTCTTTCTTTACTCTCACTCATCCTTTACGTCCACTTTCAATATTATAGAATTATGGATTGTGGGTTTGGCTAGAAGAGAAGAGAAGAGGGAGAGAAGTGAAAAAAGGAGAGGGGTGAGGGGTGGGTGAGGGTATCTTTCATTTTCTTTGTCATATCTTCCCTTGCTCGACGGTTCTCCCAACCGCTTATGCCCACACGTCTCTTCTCACAGCTCCCAGCCATCAACTCAGAGACTAGTCTGGTTGCAAACCTTTCCAATTTCTCAAATTTAATTTTATTATTTATATATATATATTTATAAATATATATATATATATATATATATATATATTATTTTTGTGTGTGTGGGTGTTTGTGTGTGTGTGTGTGGTTGGGGTGTGTGTGTGTGTGTGTGTGTGTGTGTGTGTGTGTGTGTGTGTTGTGTGTGTGTGTGTGTGTGTGTGTGTGTGTGTGTGTGTGTTGGTGTGTGTGTGTGTGTGTGTGTTTTGGTGTGTGTGGGGTGTGTTTGTAAACGTAAGTGTGTGTTTATTGTTAAATAAGGTATGTAATTAATGGTGCTTGCCAAGAGCACACTTCTAAACCACATAAGTGTGTGTAGAATATCGCAATGAAATCTATCGGGCAATTTATTCTATTCAACCTCTGTCAACCGACATTCCTGGTCATCAACGGGCAACCTTCATTTTTGCATAATTAAGGCGAGTATTTACTTTTAAAATTCCTGACGTATTCGCTCTTTCCGGGGTCTTGCATATTTTCTGTATTTTAAATTTTTGAATACCGAGAAATTTTTTGAGGGAAATGAAGGGTTGTGGGTATGAATAAGCGCATACACGTTACACATAGCTGTGTATACAAAAGAGATGTGTATAAACGTAGGAAGATTATGGTCAATAAAATTGTATGCCCTGGAAAGAGATTTCCGTCAGTGTGTCAGTCAGTTTAGCAATGCCCGAGTTTTGTAAGTCTGACTGTAAGATTTCATTGAGGAGGGCACATGAATTTGTTAGGGGACCCCCATTGTAGAATTTCCGGCACTTTTCTTTTGCATAAGGGCCAAATTTCTAGATAAGGACACATTTTCTAGCCCTACAGGACACGTTTTCAGCATTTAAAAAACACAATTTCTTAAACTACAGGACACATTTTTAGCATACGGACCGTTTCTAGCATACAGGGGAAAAATTGTTTGCATACAGGACACATTGCTAGAAAACAGGAACCCTTGCTAGGGATTCAGGGCCGTTGTTAGAAAACAGGACAAAATTGGGTAGCATACAGGGCAAAATTGCTAGCAATTTCAGGGCACGTTTTTTGCATACAGGAACCCCCATTGCTAGGATACAGGACACGTTGCTAACATACAGGACACGTTTTTTGCATCAGGACCAATTGCCCAGATACAGGACCCCTTGCTAGCATACAGGGACACGTTGCCAAAAATACAGGGAAAAACATTGCTAGCAAAAAGGAAAACATTTGGTAGCTAAAAGGGCACGTTTCTAGCCCTACGGACACCTTTCTAGCATAAGGACCCCGTTGCTTAAACATAAAAGGAAAACTTTTTCTTCAATAAAGGACACATTTCTAGCATACCCGGGAAAATTGCTAGCATACAGGACACCCTTGCTGGGGATACAGGACACATTGCTAGCTTTCAGGACACTTTTTTTAGCAACAGGAACAAATTTGCTAGCATTCGGACCATTTTTCTTTTGATTTAAAAGGGCACATTTTTAACGGAAAGAAAGCCCCTTTTAATATGGCTTAAAGTAAACAAAGGAAAAAAATTAAAACCTTTGAAAAAAATCTACCCCATTCAAAAAAACATTTTAAAACATTAAAGAACCTTAAAACATCTTTTAAAAAACACCTTCAAACATCTCAAAGCCCCCTTCACACACTCAAAGGACACCCTTCCCACATTCAAAGAAAACCTTCCCCAAAATTTAAAGACAAACCTTCGCAAACTCAAAGACACCTTTTCACACATCTCAAAGACACCCCTTTACACATCTCAAAGGGCACCTTCACACCAAAACTCAAAAGGGGGGGGGGGGGGCAAACCCTTTACACTCTCCCAAAAAAAACCTTTTACACATCTAAAGACACCTCCACACTCTCAAAACCCCCTTCACACATCTAAAAGGGCACCTCCACCATCTCAAAGGGCACCTTCACACATCTCAAAGACACCCTTTACACCCTCTCAAAGGGCACCTTCACCCCATCTTAAAAAAAAACCTTCCCAAAATTTTCCAAAGGGCACCCACAACTCAAAGACACCTTCACACATTCAAAGACACCCCTTTACACATTTCAAAAACACCCTTTACACATCTCAAAGACACCTTCACAAAATCTCAAAGGACCCTTCCCCACTCTCAAAGCCCCCTTCCAACCCTCTCAAAGGGCACCCTTTACACAACTCCCCCAAGGGCACCTTTTTCCCCAAATTTTTAAAAAACACCCCTTTACACATCTCAAAAACACCTCAACATTCAAAGCCCCTTCACACATCTCAAAGGGCACCTTCACACACTCAAAAACCAAAAATTTTCCCCTCTCAAAAAACACCTTCAACATTTTCAAAGACACCTTCACTCATTTTCAAAGACCCTTCCACATCCCCAAAAACACCCTTTAAACATCCCCAAAGCCACCCTTTCCCCACGCCAAAAGACACCTTACCAATCTCAAAGCCACCCCTTTACCACATTTTCAAAGAAAACCTTCACACATCTCAAAGCCACCTTCACACATTCCAAAACCACCTTCACAAAATCTCAAAGGGCACCTTTCCCCAACATCTCAAAAAACACCCTTCCCCATTCAAGGGCACCCTTCAACACATCTCAAAAATTCCCTTTACAAAATCTCAAAGGAAAACCCTTTACAAATCTCAAAAACCACCTTTCCCCACATTCAAAGGGCATCTTCACAAACTCAAAGCCCCCCTTTAACACTCTCAAAGCCCCCTTCACACATTTTCAAAAACCCCC